GGTGATAGGAGGACAGGAATAACTTCCTTAGAAAAAGGAGGAAGCCTAATGACTTTGTTCTGAAGATGGAATGACTAGTAGCTTGCTGACCATGGCTCCTAGAAGTTTGGGAAGTCAGGAAACAAGCTGAGATGACACTCTGGGCAGGTTTTTTACTTGTGGCACATACAACTCTTGGCCTTGCATTCAAACCTGGTTTGACTTCCTTCATGTCTCTGCAGTCTGCTTGCCTGAGTCCAACGTTGCCATGTGGTGAAGGGAAGGACACATCTCCTGTGTCAGGCTGCATGTGCAGTGCTCTGCAAGTGGAGGTGACACATCTCCGGGGCCTGGTTTTACAGTGTCTGGATGATCAGAAGAAGCTGCAGCAGGAAACCATTCGTCTGAGTGCTCAACTCCAGCGGTTCTGCAGGGGAACAGAGGGAATGCAGCAAGTGAGGATCCATCACCTGGGTGCACACGCATGCGCAGGGCTCGCCAAGCTCCTGAGTAGATTGTGGAGACTGTGCAGAGGGAAGCAGCTCTTAACAGTTGTCTTAGAGCAGAATGGTGGGAGACTGAGCATGGTGCCTGTCTCTTGCTTGAGCTGCTGATGCATGCATGCTCTGGTAGTAGCAAAATAGGAATGAAGCCAAGAAGTTTCCTGTGAGGACAGGTCAGTCTTTGAGGGACTTGGGATTCCCCTTTATTTCTCCTGACAAGTAGGGATGGGCAGTCAGATGTTGAGAAGAGTCCAAATGGCTGTGAGGAATACAAACTGTGCCTTGTGCAGCTTCTAGCTTTTTAGCAGTTAGGCCTAGAGAAGTTTGGGTAACTGCTGTGTGTTTCGGCAGGTGGAGGTTCATTCCAAAGGAACACAGACAACCAAAGAGGAGATGGAAGTGGATCCGAAACCTGACCTGGATTCAGATTCCTGGTGTCTCCTGGGAACGGACTCGTGCCGCTCCAGCCTCTAGTCTCCTGAGCCCACTGGGATCCATCTAACTTCACAGCACACTAACCGAATGCAGAGAGCGGCTTTCCTGGCTTCAGGTCACTCGCGGACAAGGAGCGAGGCTGGAGGCTCCAGAGCAGCTCCCATGTATGTTTGATATGAACTAGGAGTGAACTAGTGAGTTTGAGAGGGGAAGGGCCCCTGAGCTCTGGGCCAGCTCAGTGATTGAAGCAGCAGCAGCAGCTCCTCTTTGTACCTTATCTGTCAATTCTGCACGTGAGGCAGAACGGCCCCATTATGGCGATGGCTCCAGTAGCAGCTTGTAACCCTTTCATTGTTTCACTGTTTCCTGGGAGCTGCCTTTGGGACCCCAGTATTCATCACTGCATCTCTAGATGAGAGGAGGAAACATGTTTTGTACTGAAGCTGGCTGAACCCTAAGACTCGCCACCTTCACTTCGGAGGGGTGAAGGACTAGGATCCTCCCCTACCACATGGTAAGGCCCCGCCAGTGAGGCTGTTCCCCTCTGCTCAGAGGCAGAGGGACCAGCAAATGTCTCATTCTGGAGGCAGTGGAGATCTTCCTTTTAGGGAGGTAATGGTAGACAGCACGTCCCTGGCCTCGAGGCACAGCTTCTGGCCATATGGCTGTGTCCAGTGGTCTGTATAGACAGAGTTTAAAGGCTTTATTCTGGGTGCCGAGAGCTTTCCAACTTTCAGGTGATGCACCGAGATGAGTGAATCAGGTGCCGTTTCCCATAGCAGTAGTGGGGACTGTCTGAAACAGGGTCTGTAGTTCTGGGTTTCAGACCATCTGCTTCCCAACCAGATGCTGAGCATCTGGGCCTCAGACTAAGTTACCCATTTCTTGCTCCAGCTGTTCAACTTGGTTTGAGTGCCAGAGTTTCTGGTTTCTTGGCATAAGCCTGTAGCTGCTCCCTGCTTGGCTTCTGTTCTGCTCAGCTCCTGGTGCCTGTGCTCTGTGTGGGTGTGGGAAGAATCCGTGTTTTTCCACTCAGTGTTTTGATGAAGCTGGAATGCCATTTCCTACCCAGAATAGGTCATGAATGCCGTGGTCACAGGATGCAGCCTTCTCCAGTGACCACGAATGATCAAGTCTCGGTCCAGAATTCACCTTCTTTCTAGCAGTGAGAGGCTTCCCCAGAAAATTGAAGATGGGAAGAGACATGGTCTGATGCGCAAGATTTCCTGTTAGAGAATGAGGTGAATTTTATTCCCCTTAAATTTATTTTCAAGCTGACTTTGAAGTAATCCTATGGGACTGGTAGGATCCCTGGGAGCAGCTAGCTTCCCCCTGACTTATGTGAAGCCTCTAAGGAGTCCTGAGTTCCTCTCACCTTTGCTGTGAGAGAGGGGTTGCGATTTCATCAGGCTTATGCCATCCCCATCAATGGCATGTTCCTGGACTTGCTTTAGGTCTACTGGAGGTGGATATCCTATCACCTCTGCAACACTTCTTTGGAGAGACTGTTCTGGGGAAGCCAACATTCTCTAGAGGTGGTTGCCAAACCATTTGCTTGTAATTTAAAGCTCCTTAAATACTTCTTTGGTGCCTATTGCTAGTATCTTAGGGCTGAATCAAGTGCAGTCTCTCCACTGCAGTGTCCAGGGCAAGGCTGGTGCTGATGTGCCTGTCCATTGCAAAGGCAGGACAGGAGGACAGCCCTCCTGGGAGGTGGGGAGCATCAGGCACCCTGACTGCCCTTGTGACTCTGCTCTCCTTTCCCCCATGTGTGTTGGAGCCAGTTCTCAGATTAGGGTCCCGGCTGGAGGATTGTTGGTCACGTTGCAGCAGTGCCTTTGAGGAGTGAAAAGTTGAGCCTGAGCCATGTCCAATAAGCAAGCGCCAAGTTGATGGGAGTCGCTCTCCTGCAGTGCACTGCTATCCTCATTTCTCAATGCTCTGCAGTTGGGAAGCTAGGTGCACAGTCTGGATTCCCCTTGGATCAAGTGGAGGATTAGGGTTCCTGACAGAGGATGCCCTACGCTCCACAATCTCATATGTGCCTTATAGGGTTCACGCTATCCAGGTTGTGCCTGTTACAGACCACGGTTTTCACACCAGCCAGCTATGCAACAAAAAAAAGCAGTTTAAAGCCAGCACCTTTGTCTTGGGCTGAAAACGGAAAGGCAAGTGGGCAGAAGTGCCTTTGAGCAGTTTCAAACCCTTTTTACTTCTCCCCTTCTTGCAGTGCTAGCTCTGTATGTGTTGGTCTCCCGCTAGTATTGCTACTGAGTTCTTATAATGGAACACAACTTATGCCTGCTCTGACACTCTGGCTGAAAACTAGTTTGTCGTTGTCTTTTTTTGAAAGGTTAAAGGGTGGAGTGGTTTGGAGTTTCTGTTTAAATAAATGTTTAAACTCATGCTCCTATGTTCAGAGTCTTTTTCTTGTTTTGTTTTTTTTCCCAGGAGAGGAAAGGGAAATATGCATATAGTCAGCTGGCTTCATGGCATTCTGGTTTTGATTATTTTTTTTTTGCTTATAGAAACAGGGCCAAGAGGCCTGCAGGTTCTTTGCTATGGGAAAAAACCTGTCAGTTTCTGTGTTCCCTTCTTTAAAAAACAAACAAACAAACAACAACAACCCAACTCTTTTCTCATACTGCTACATCACCTCCTAGTGACGTCAGGGGCTTTTGTGTGTGTGTGTTTATTTCCACAGTTTGAGTGCCAAGTGGGGAAATGAGTAATGGGAAGAGAGGCTCAAAGGGAAGAATTACCTGTTTCTCTCAGAACAGCTTCTACTAAGCATTAAGGCGTAGAGAAGGGAGAACTTGCCTGGCACTTGTTCAGCCAACTGTTCCTGCACACTGTTCAATGTCTGTCACTTTTAACTGTATCAGGGTTTTTATTAAGTTGTGAAATATCTTGAAAGGCAGAGCAGTGTTAAAGACTTAAAGTTCAACAGAGATTTGGATGCTGAAAATGCAGCATATCACTGAGAGGAGGATTGTACTGCAGTAGCACAAGCAGAAGATGAGCTCAGTAGTGTCAGGATAGCTAACCATAACAGCTTGAGTAGTGTCTGGGTAACTAACCATGATAGCAAAGCAGCAAGTTACCTTGTGCCTAGCCTGATACTTAGCCACAGTTTAGCCAAAGTTTTAAACCAATTATCAGAGACTTTCTGGATATTGAAAGAATAGCTCAGCAAAGAGAGGTGACCTGCCTACAGTTAGCTCCAAAACAGATAACAAATGAAGTGTGGTGATTTCATTTCATTAACTTTTGTTTAATCTAGAGTTTCAATCTCAGCATTAGCCATTTGCCTCTCACTTACAGGAAGTCCCCAACAGATGGGCTTATTTTGCAACATCAAATGCTTTTCTGTGTGGACCTACGTGTCACCATTTGCACTTTGCTGATCTTTAGGGTCCACTAAGTATAGTCAATAAAAGATAGTGCAAGGGAAACAGAGTTAACATTGCAAGACAGGCAGTCTTTATCTACTGTGTTCCTTTCAGTTATACTTTTCATGAATTCAAGGGGTCTGGCATAAAGGTTCCTGTTGGGAAAGGTGAAGTTCCGTGTGGGGAAGCAAGCGGCCGACTCCGTGTGGGTGATAGAGCAAGCTCCATCTGACAGGCTCTTTTTTATACAGTGCAGGACAGGCATACAATTATCAATCATTTTTAATTGGCTAGGCTATAAAGATAGCATTCAGGTACTCCCCTTACTTGCAGCTGCAGCTGTGAGGCTTATCTCCTGCTTTCCCAGGCTTGGATGCATTCCTAGCTGTTTTTCTCGAACCTGTTTGTTTCACCCTCAAGGATGAGTTACCCCTGCCATCTGCCCAGCTGAATTACTCCCTATCTATACATAAGTTACTATCTCCAGAGCCTTGCTTGAACACACTGCATTCCCAGGTGCGTTCCCAGGACTGTGTCTGTACGTTCCCAGGGGACTGTGGCCTAGCTCTTTTTGGCTTTCCCCAGGTGTATACCCAGGATCATGTCCCGCCATTCTCCAACAGGTTCCAGTTTACCCCTTTCTTTCCTTTTGCCACCTTTTGCTATCCTGTATTTAAAAGCTCTGAAGTTAAAGCTTTGGTATTGTTTCTCCAATCATTTTGTATGTTGCCGTTCATGGCAACCGACCTCCTTCGGCTGAGACGGCACAGAGGCCCACACTAGCTCCCAGGCCAAGGGGCACTGACACCAATATGAGGATGCTGCAAATGGTGTTTACTGCTTCACTGACACCACCTTATATACAATTACTCCTTCGTTACCGCCTCCTTGTCTGCGTTAGCAACTCACGTCATTTCCCTTTGCGTAAGCCTTAACATACATAGGAAGGGGTTCCCTCTCCTAACCTTTCCATACATTGCGAGATCTTCTGACTGCCGTTCCCTACATTTGTATATGGCAAATTATTTTCCCTTGTTTCAAGTCTTTTTTTTCTCTCAGGTTTGTGCACTCATCGCTGCTGGCACAGTGCAGCACTGGCCCTTTCTGGGACCTTCGTTCTTTTCTAGGGTGTGCCAAGGGATTGAGATTTCTGCCCATGTATTTCTAGGGCAGAAGCTCAGTAGCTTCTTCAGTAATCAGGTTCACTCATTGAAGGCTGAAGTATTTTAATATTTGGTTTCTGTCTAGTCCAGCTTAATCTAGTAGCTTTTGATCTTTTCCCAGGTTGCCTTGAGCTGCAATTCTGTTGCCAGAGGACTTGCAAAAGAAGCTGCTGGAATTTTTTTGTTCCTTGTTTGCTTCTTGTTGCAACTTTCTCATACAAAGTAGTCATTCTTACTTTGAGAATACATAGCACTCTGTGACCAGTTAAAATAACTTTTACACAACAGAGCTTGGCCTGCAGGAAAACTCCACGATTTAAAAAATATTAAATCTAACTGTTGATTGTGATCATTGTTCTGTTGCCCCAAGGGCCTGGCTGGTTCGGAGTATCTCTCATCCTGTGCACATGAATTGACATATGGACTCAAACAGTAAGTGCCTGCTACTGCCAGCTTCTAATCCCCTGAATTTCTGCTCCTGAGCTGCTTGTGCTGAGGAAAGGAGCATCCCAGGGCACAGGTCAAAATCCAGGTCTGTTATTCTGCCTGTACATCCTGATCTATTCACTTACTGTACATACAAGTTGGCAACCAGTGTTGAGACTAGGGAAAGCACAAGTGTCTGTAGCTGAAAACCTAGCAGAAAACAGGCAGGGAATGACAGCAGCAGGTACAGTTGGGCGCTGCCTCAGCAGCGCTGGAGGTGGTGGCCTGCTCTTTATGGTTTTGCATTTGGGAATATGTCTCTCAGCTGGTCGGGGAGCAAACTGGCGTCCACAATGAGGGCAGGGAACATAGTCTGGGTTTTTGATGGGAGACAACGGGGGCAGGTCAGATGCCTTCCCTCCGCTGGCGAGCACTTGCTGCAGCTGGCGTGCGTGGCGCATGATCTGAATGAGAGCCTCGTGCTTCTGTTTCCAGGTGTTTCTTCTGGGTGGTGTCTTACTCTACAGAAGGGGAAGGCAGTCAGAGCTACTGGCACCACCATCAGCCTCCATTCTCAGGTCTCACACTTGGAGCCCAACCCAGGTCACCCGTCCCTGGGCATTCACTGTTGATGTAAAACCCTCCCTGAGAAGCTTAATCCCACAAAGGGGATCAAAAAGGCCAGCACCAAAAAGATCAGACCATGTCCTTCACAAGGGTGAAGGAAATTCTGGTGGAGACAGGTACTTAGTCCTTGAGAATAACCCAAAAAGCAAGCAATAGGGCCAAGGAACTAGAGAGGGTTGCTATAGCTGCTTTGCAGGAGCAGAGCTGCATGTTTCCACTGCCTTCATTTTAACAGACTGTGGTATTGCCTGGATTTTCAGTCAGCTTGCTGCAGCCCCTGATGTCCCAGAGCTTTACTGCAGCAGAACCAGTCTGCATCATAACTACAGCAAGGTGTGAGCTTTGTCCAGGTGTACACCCGTGACGCATTATAAAGATGTCAGGACTCCTGCCTCCATCTATTAGATTTCAAATGGGTCTTTTTATCTATTCGGCAGTAACCTTTCAGAGGCAATAGCTGGATTTGTACCCTTTAGCCCCATGTACATGTGAAGGTGCTCACACCTCAGAATTAGAAATTGAGGTGGAAGGAATGTGAGCAGTAGATGTGAATCAAGGGAGGCAAAGGGACTGCACGTTACCTGAGAAGTCCTTGAGCTCTTCTGCTTTAGATACTCTTCCAGTTCTGTTCCTCTAGCTCTTGCCTTGTTGGAGTCAAACACTTTCCTCTTGGAGCCTTGGTTCTTGCCACAGATACTCATGTGCTTCTCAAGCCTGGTCCAGAGAAACTTACGTTGGCAGAAGCTGCACTGTCTGAGCTCCTCCTGCTCCACTGCACTGTCAGCCTGCTCATGAGGCACCTCTGAAGACAGGGGGTCACCAGAGTCTTGGCTTGAGAGGGCAGGGGGAGAAGGGCTGTGTTTTGGGGTCGTCTTTGAACAATAAGCTAAACTCTCCATGTTGTCTTTCATTTTGCAGTTGCTGGCTGCCAGCCGTTCTTTCTTGAGTTTCTCCGTGTCCCGCACTTGGGGGTGGAGGGTGGTGTCATGCTTGGGAACAGTGGCCTCTGCAGGTTGTGCCCCACCTAAGACACTATCACCTGGCCTGACTGCAACTCTGAAGGTTTTCTCTTCAGAGTGCCTTGTGGCCTTTGGCTCATGGGTCCTTTCTGCTTCTCTGTCTCTTCTCTCCTCTGTCTTGATAAACTCCTCTCTTTGAATCCTCCTTAGAGTCTCTGTTGTTCTCCTCAGCTTCTCTGCAAGAATGACCTTTATCTCTTGAATTGCCTCTTCTAGTTTCCTTCCATCTGCTTCCAACTCTAGGATGTAGGCCAGCTCTCTTCTGTATGGATGAGGGGCTGATGGCTCGGGATCTACTGTCCAAGGTAACTGAGACTCCCCTGCTGGAGCCTTCCCTTTGCTTACTGAGCTTGATCTACTATTTGGAGCTTCCTGCTTATATGGGGAGCTTCCGAGCTGGGCTGTCTTGGCCACTGGAACACTTGCACTGTTGTGGTGAGAAATTGGTTTCAGGGCATGTGCATGATCCACTCCTTTCTGTCTGTCTACTGATTTAGCTGACAGAGTACAGGACTGGATGGTGAGATACTTGCTCTGCAGCCCAGCTGAACAGAGGGCTCCATGCTTGGGGTTGTATTGACTTCTTTCTGCAGAAAGAGAATGCCTTTGGCTCTTTTGGGCATAGAGATCCTTTAAACTTTCCTCTTTGTTATGGCTGAGTCCATGTTGAAAGTTGTCCTTCTGGTTTTTCAGTAGGGAACTGGGAGCAAGCTTAGGAGCTGACACCACAGGAGCCACCGGTGACAAAAAATCCATTCAGTACCTGAGAAAGAGCCTGAGGTTAGAGGCAAAGTTGTTACAGACTATCTTATCCAAAACTGGACACACTTTCTTCTAAGAGTCTATACCCGGAGGCTACAGTGAGAGGTTGTAATAAGTATTAGTAAAGGTTGTGTAATTTTTCTGGATTCTGTAAGTCTTTACGTTCCTTCCATCTAGGGAACTCCCATGCTGCCTCTTCCAGTCCCAACCGTTTATGCAGCCAGAAATAAAATATGCTTTTATTTCTTTTCTGCCTGAGCTCTGCCTTACCATGGCAGCAGCAGAAACTCACTGCACTGCCAGAGAAACCATCACACTCCCCAAGACATTTCCCATAACGTGCCCCTTCAGTTCTGGCATTGAGATTTACCAGTGTGCCACACAGGTCTGACACGCGGCCAAACTCAGGGCAATCTTCCCATGGCTCGTTCTACCGCATCCCCCGAGGCGTGTCAAGTGCGCGGGGTTACCTGCGGGGCTGCGGCCGGCGCTCTGCCCCGCCCCCTCGGCACGCTGCTTCGCTTGTTGTCCGAGAGACCCGACCTGACC